AAACAGCGAAGCAGGGGCACTACTAAGCTAGTTGTCTGGCGTGCACGAGCGGAAGAAGGACGGAGGGGCCGCGGGCGGAAGATGAGAAAGGCGCTCAGAGGCGGAAGAAGTCCACCATGAGCGGGTCGGGGCGGCAACAGCGGCGCAGCGGCGGCGACCAGGGGACCGGGGAGCGCGCGCTGGGCGGGCCAGCGCGGACGCTTCGAGCACGGTGCGCGTCGCGTCGCCGCACGGGCGTGCATCGTACCAGGGCAGCAGAGCTCTGGCATCGACGACGCCCACCCCCCCTATATATATATATATATAGAAAGAGAGAGGGAGAGAGAGAGAGAGAGAGGGAGAGAGCGAGAGAGAGGGAGAGAGAGAGAGAGAGATGTCGGCGGCGGGCCCCCCCGAGGGGGTAAGCCACGCGTCTCTGGGCAGGCTGGGGCCAGCGGGCCCCGACCAGCGAGGACGGGGCGAAGCGGGGACCGATGCCTCCCCCCGAGCCCATTCCCCCCCTTGCCGGCGCCCCCGATCCCCTCGCTCAAGCCGGAAGCACGATCGAGAAGATCATGATCGAAGAAGCCTGGGTCGGCTTCCTAGAAATCTCTCGAGGCGAACCTGGGCCAGCTTTTTTGGTCAACGCCGCAGGGGCGAACGTGCTCAAGAAACTGGGCCACCTCCCTGGCAAGGTTGCCAAGAAACGCTGGCCCAGCTTCTGGGTAGGAGGTTCCTTAGCCAAACGCTTGACCACAAATTGGGCATGATCAGTTAGCCTCGAGTCGGGAAACCAGATCGGCTCCGAGCGTGCGTCGAGTGGGGCCGACCAGAATCGGTGCCGAATCGAGCGGATCGAAATGGACGCTGGAGGGGGAGGAGGAGGAGGAGGAGGAGGAGGAGGAGGAGGAGGAGGAGGAGAGGAGGAGGAGGAGGAGGAGGAGGAGGAGGAGGAGGAGGAGGAGGAGGAGGAGGAGGAGGAGAGGAGGAGGAGGAGGGCGGGGGGGGAGGCCATCGCGTCGCCGATAGAGGGGTCGCCAACTGCCCGAGGAAACGGCCCCCCCCCCCTGGAAGACGCAGAGCCCCAACAGGACCCCGAAGGAAGCCCAGGAACGCCCAATACCTCCTCGATCATCGACCCTCGCTCTCCCTCGGGCCTCGACTTGCAGACGAGGCGTGGTGGCCCCTGGTGGCGATCCCCCCTTGGCACGTCCTCGATGGTCTCCTCACGGGTCGAAGGGGCGGCCCGATCCGATCTCGCCTGATAAGGCTTCGGGTTGCGCACAAACAGCCCCCCCCCCAGGTAGCCCCGGCTGGCCTCAACAGGCTCCCCGAGTAGACCCAGCTGGCCTCGACAGGCCCCCCGAATAGTCCAGGGCGGTCTGAACACCGCAACCCAGACTCGTCCAGGGGCCTGTTGAGGCCAGCTGGGACTACTCGGGGGGGCCTGTGGAGGCCAGCCGGGACTGTCTGGGGGGGCTGCCTGCGAGCAACCCGAAGCCTCACCGGGGCCCGATTTGTCGGATTTCGGAAACCCTGAGCCCAAAAACGCTTTCATCTCTTGGGAGGTGTTTTTTTACTTCCGCAACCTTCCGCCACCCTTCCGCAGGCTTCCGCCCGCGGAGGCGGCCTCGTTTTACTTCCGCCGACCTTCCGCCGCCCTTCCGCTGGCTTCCGCGGTGGAAGAGATGACAACTCCTTCGATCCCCGAAGGCCAGGCCATTTTTGGAACCCCTCATTTGATCTCGCCTCCGTGCCGATGCGGCCCGATCTGGCGTCCAGGCGGGCGAGCGCGGGGAGCGCAGATACCGTGCCATCACGCGGGGCCCCCGAGCGCCCAAGCCTCACCGCCGCGCCAGGCCTCGCCGCTTGTGCGCGGAGGGCCGGAGGGGCGACGACGACGGCGACGCAAACGGCGACGGCGACGGCGCCGACGACGACTACGACGACCACGACGACGCCGACGCCGCCGACGACGACGACGACGACGACGACGACGACGACGACGACAACGACGACGACGAAGACGGCGGCGGCGGCAGCGGCGACGACGGCGGCGACGACGGCGGCGACCGCGGCGGCGGCGATGACGGCGACGACGGCGGCTACGACGGCGACGACGGCGACGACGTCGACGACGGCGGCGACGACGACTGCTTCGCCAGGCCTCACTGCCGGCGCTCCACGGCCAAGCCCCGCACGGAGGCGCTCACTGCCGCGACAGGCCTCGCCGCTGGCGCGCGGAGGGCTGCGGCAGGCTCCCGGGCTCCAGACGTAGAGGCCTCCAAGATTCGGGCCCGAGCTAGCGGGGTCGGAGGAGCGCGCCGCATCGCCGATGCATCGCGGTTGCCTTGGCGATGCATCAACGATGTCGGCTATGCATCGGCGACATTGGCGAGGAGGAAATCGGGCTCCAGACTAAACCGCATCGCCGATGCATCGGCAATGCGGCGCGATCCTCCGACCCCATCTGCTCGGACCCCATCTGGGAGGCCTAGAGCCCCAGGCGTCCGGCTCCTGACACAAAACGCAAGACGCAGGCCCTGTTACGTTGTCCGGCCTCTGGGCACCACCACTCAGCGTCGAACCGAGAGAAGATCGCATCGGATCGCAGCGTGCGTCGGATCGGGCCGAACCAGCACGGAGCCGGAATCCGAAACGCGTCGGCCGCGCGCCCAGGAAGCACAACCGGCGCCGTGCGAGCGCCCGGCCGCATCGGATCGCCGGGAAGCTGGAATCGGGTCGGACGGAGCCGGCCAGAATCGATGTCGGATCGGATCGATCGGATCGAGATGGATCCTGGGCTGCGTCGGGCGCCCGACCCTGGACGCCCAGCTTCCTGGAAGACATCGGGGCGCAGGCTTGGGATGGTGTTTGGGCTCGGGAGGGGCCGTCCGAAGAGGATCCGCGGGAGGAAGAGCCGGGCCCAGGGCAAGGGTGGGGGGCTTCCTGGGGGGCCCGCATCGAAAAGACCTCAAGACATCTGATTCCACGTCTGCAACCAGGAACTGTGTTGATCGAATACAGACAGTCCGTCTCATGAGGACGCGCGGTAAGGATGTAAGGGCCTTGGAGGCCCATGTGAACGTTGTTCGAATGAGGCTGGCCAGCGAGAGTCGCCAAGGATGGGCCGAAGGGGCAAGGATGCAAAGCTAACATTGGGAAGCTTGCCCATCCTTACTCTGCGCGTTGACTGTACCTACCAGACAAACTGGACCAGACCCACCAATCGGCCCGATCCGCTCGGGCTTCCCTGGAAGCGTGAGGAGAGCCAACATCCCTAGGGGAGCCAGGGCCCACTGGGGAGCGGCGGGTGGGTCGGGTCCAGTCCGTCCGGTGAACATGGCGGCAGGAGCGAAGTCGATCGAGTGGAGCTGGCTTCCGAGCGGCCTTCCAAGTGAACCTAGCCTCGGAGCGGGGTGAGAACCCCTGGATGCTTCCCCATCTGAGTTGCTCACCCGCGGATTTTCTTTCACACTCGGGGTTTAATCAACCTCGCGTTCGAGGATGGAGGATCGGGGCTCGAGGCTTGAGGCTGGAGGTTCCTCGGCGTTTGTCGTCCTGTAGCCCTCCGGCAAGGGGCCTCTGAAGGCCTCTGGAGACTTCGGGGACCTCTGGGGAACTCCAGAGACCTCCAAAGTGAACTAGAACGGTCTGAAAACGCAATACAACCGGCGCCGTCGTCGACGAAGGTCGAGGTTCTCGGGCGCCCTTGGGCGGATTGGGACGCTGCTGGGCGCTCGGGCGGGGTTCTGTGGTGCAGGAGGAGTTGGTGAACTTCTGCGCGTGGAACTATAGATCCCCTAACTTCGCCCCTGGTCGCCGCCTGATGCGCGAAGTGGGGTGATCTTCGCGCCGGCGCGCCGCCCCCTGGAGAAGGGCACTCCGCCAGATCTCCGACGTCGTGTTCGTTCACTGCGCGAGCCGCCAGAAGTCTACAGCCCGTCCCTGGGGCCAGTGTTGCTACCCCGAACCGTCTGTTGACGGTCGCGGGGCCCCGTGGGGGTCCCTGGAGACCCGGAAGCGGCCAAAAAACGAACGCCGTGATGATGCCTCCGCGACACGAGGAGATATGGCGCAGGCGGTGACGGCCAACACCCCCAACGCCTCGGAGGAATCGCGCCCGAGCTATTCCGCCACCCTCGGCGCCCGTGGTGCCCAGGACGGGGGGGGAGGGGGCGTCGAGAAGCGACCATCCTGGGGAAGAGGAAGAGAAGGCTAGTCAAGGGGTCCGAGGGTGCGACCAATGAGATGCACGGAGACATACTAGTACTGCATGTCCTCCTTGGAGGCGCGCGTCCGTAGTATATCGTTTCCCAAGCGGTGTGGCCAGAAAGCGCCCGCAACGCCGCGTATACCATAAGATTTCTCGGTGCGTGCGTCGCCCCTGGGGGCGCGACGCACATATAGTATAAGTATGTTGGGGTGACGCCGAACCAACTCCATCAACGCTAAAAACAAGCAGGCCGATGCCTCACGTTTAATTCTGCAGCCTCCCGCCGAGGTTCAGCCAGTTACCGCAGGCCTGCGCCAGCCTTTCGCCAGCCTTGCGCCGAGGTCGAAGATGCACCGAAGGCGAAACAGCTTACGAAGTTCGCCACGCCAGAGAAGGTCGAGGGGGGGGGCTGGCGGATGATGATGATGATGATGATGATGATGATGATGATGATGATGATGATGATGATAATGATGATGACGACGACGACGATGATGATGATGATGATGATGCTGATGATGACTATGTTGATGTTGATGATGACGATGATGATGATGATGATGATGTTGTTGATGTTGATGTTGATGTTGATGATGACGATGATGATGATGATGATAATGATGATGACGACGACGACGATGATGATGATGATGATGCTGATGATGACTATGTTGATGTTGATGCTGACGATGATGATGATGATGTTGTTGATGTTGATGTTGATGTTGATGTTGATGATGACGATGATGATGATGATAATGATGTTGATGATGATGATGATGCTGATGATGATGATGATGATGTTGATGTTGATCATGCCCCACGGCGAGCCCGCGCAGCGGTCCCCACGGCGTCCCCTCCGAGCAGGGCGCAGCCCCCGCCGCCGCGGTGTGAGGGTGCGGCGACGCGCTGCAGCTGCGCGCTCACGCGCGAGAGACAGAACAGCGCCCTGGAAGGGCAGATCACTGTACAAGCGCGCTTCAGGGCACGCAAATAGGCCAAGCCGCGATACCTGATTTGCTCGGTCATTGCGAATCGCAACCGCTTTGGGCACACGGCGAGCGCAAACACGACACTGAAACAATTGCGCTGGAGAGACATGGCTCTTCGGCCACGGTGCGAGGGTGCGGCACCAAGCCAAGCCTCCGGCATCACTACGACGCCATTGTATTGTCGTATTGTACAAGCGATTGTCGTAGTGTACATTGTATTGTCGTATTGCCACTGCATTGCCTCAAGTGGAGAGCGATCGTCTTATTGTACGAGGGCCGCTCCGCACCAGGATCCGGGCTCGTGGCCAGCGGTGGGCGGGGGCCAAACCCTCACAGCCCTCCAACTCCACCTCCCCCCCCACACACACACCACCCCTCCACCCCTACCCCCTCCATCTCTTGCCTCAGGTCGGGCACGTGCTCCTACAGGCGGACTTCGGAAGATTTTTCTTGGTTTTTTTTTATAGAATCCAGACATGTTCTAAAATCCTCAAAAACGGTCGAAACATTGTCCCCAGATTTTGTTTTTGACTGGTTTTGTCTCCAAGCTCCTCCTGTAGAGGGACATGCCCGACTCAACTCCAGCCTGGGCGGCTGCGAGAGACGCCGTCGCGCCGCGGGTGCAACAGAGTGGCCCGCGAGGACCCGGCCCGCCGCGCGCGCCTCCCCGCGGTGGTGTCCGGGGGGGTGGCAGCGCGAGGGGGCCGCATGCTACGGCAGAGTTCGAGAATTTGAAAGACAGCACGTGTTGAGACATCCTGCGGATATCCTTGGCACGGTGGGGGCATCGGATAAGGAACCCTTGGATACGGCATCCAGGGTCTGGAGGCCGGTGGAACTCCAATCGAGGCTTGGCCATGGATATCACCGCCGCCCTCATCAGATAAGGAATCCTTCAGGGTCTGCAGCCTCCCAGGCGCATTCCTTAACCAACGCCCCCACCGTACAAAAAACCCTGACCCAGCAGGCAGGGCGTATGACATGGGGGGGGGACGCAGGGCAACTCCCCCAGAGAGAAGAGGCGCGTGCCGGTGGAGGGAGGATCGCGCGACGGATCATCCGCGCAGTCATGTGCTCAGATGGTCGAGACCTTGGCCGCATCGTCCTCGGTCGCCTCCTCCTTCTGCGGTGGACCGGCCTTCACGTCGGCCACGACGCGGAGCGCAGTGATCGCGAGGATCGGGTTGAGCAGGGCCCAGCCCCCGATGATGTAGCCGAGCCCGTAGCCGACGCCGTTCCCGATGTCCCCGAGCTTGCCCTTGGCCGCCACGATGCCGTCGTTCTGGTCGTCCTGGACCCAGCACGTCGTCTCCTGCCCCAGCGCGCTCAGACCGATGGTCCACGCAGCGAGCAGGAGGACCCAAGCCACGCCGAAGGCGGCGGCGGTGCCCCAAAGTGCCTTGCGCATGTCCCGCTTGTCCCCCCTAGCGAGGTACGCGAGCATCGCCGCCATCCCCAAAAGGGAGAAGACGATCCCGGCCACGCTAAGGCCGCCCGCGGCCGTCAGGCCGCCGACGTCCGTGCAGAGGTCGCCGAGCGGGATGCAACAGGCCTTCGGCAAGGCGTCCGCGCTGCAGGACGACGCTGGGGCCGCGGCCCACTTGGTGCCAGACTGGCTGTAGTCGATGGTGTACGTTCGGGTGACCGCGGTGGACACGTTGGCGCACTGCGTCGCATGCAGGTCGCCACACCCAGTCAGCGCCTCGCACTCACTCAGCCAGTCCCCCGTCGTGGCGTCCGTGCACCCCTGCCACGACTCCTCGTAGACGGTGTTGGCGCCCAGGACGGTGGAGAAGTCACTCTGGTCGGCGCAGGCGGAGCTGAGGTCAGCCATGCACGTCTCGAGGTGCGCATCGAGGGCCTCGCCCGTCAGAGGGCTCGGGGCCCAGCCCACCTCCTCAGCAAACATGGCGGAGCACGCGCTCCAGGCGCCGATGCCGACGTGGTCCCGGGCGTCGAATGACGCGTACTTCATGTCGGACCACTTGGCGTTCGGCACCGCCATCAGCATTACCAGGATCGAGTACCAGCCGAGCCCGTAGGCACAGGGCGCCAGCCACCACTGCCTCGCGCCACCGATGTCGGTGCTGCCGATGTTTGACTCCTCCACCGCGGCGGACCGACCCTCGCCGTCCGCGGTGGCCATCTTCATGCTGGGCGGCATGAACGAGAAGTCCTTCTTGAGCACCGCAGGCAGCCGCTCCGGGTGGTAGGCGCGCATGCCGAAGACGCAAGAGCCAGCGATCAGCAGGAGCAGGATCGGAAGGCCCACGAACACGAGCGCCGCCCAGTGCATCAGGGACAGCCCCAGGAGCAGGCCCGGAATGATCCCGAAGACGACGAAGATGTAGGCGACTGGAAACCAGCGCAGGTCGGCGGCCACGCTACCCAGTGCCCTGGCCATGGTGAGCGGCACGGCGCGCATGGCAGGGATCGGGAACCAGATGAGCGCTCCGATGAGGTTGAAGAACAGGTGCGCAAACGCCACCGTCATGCCGGTCGCGACGTTCGAGCCCGCCAGCGCAGACAGCATGCCAGTGACGGTGGTGCCCACGTTCGCGCCGACGGTGAACGGGAACATCTTGTCGAGCTTGATGAGCCCGATTCCGACGAGCGGCGTCAGCGTCGAGGTTGTTATGCTGCTGCTCTGCATGAGGATTGTGATGCCCACACCGAAGAGAATGAGGATGTAGTCGGCCACAAAAGGCACCGTCTTGAACTCCAGGTTCAGCAGCCCCTGCATCCAAATCGCGGCGCGGCCCCGGAAGATCGTCTGCAGCAGCTTGACAAGGAGGATAAGCGTGGTGGACAGCATCACCAGGGAGATGACCAGCAGCAGCCATCCAGCCCCCTCGTCGCTCAGGGGGGTGTCCAGGAACATATGGTTGTCAAGGGTACGCTTGTTCTGGATGATCGACTGTGCCAGCAGGCCGTCCAGCGTCTCCTGGTCGTCCGCCTGTGCGACCTTGGTCACCAGCTTCTTGTCCACAGAGATCAGGCGAGAGGTGACCGGCTTCGTGAGCTTCTTGATGAAGTCGACCTTCTCCTGCTTTTCCTGGTCCTCCTCGATGCCGGCGGACTCGACGAGGGCGCTGCCGATGTGGTAGAGCATGTGAGTGAAGTACTCGAGCGGGAGCAGGATGGTCACTGTCAAAAGATTGAAGCAGTCGTGCACCGTTGCGCCCGCGAACGCTCGGCGGTACTGGTCCACGTCGCCCATGTGGGACATGCTGACGATTGTATTGGTGACAGATGTGCCTATGTTCGCCCCCATGATCATGTAAATGGCGTTCTTGGGATCGATCAGGCCTGCCGCAGTCATCGTGATGATGATGGAGGTGCTGGTCGACGAGGACTGCACTAGCACCGTCGCCAGGATCCCGAGGGAGCAGCCCGCGAACGGGTTGTCGAAGATGGCGTTGTTCCGGAAGACTTTCCCGGCGGTGGGGCCTCCGATGACCTTGAACGCGTTGCCCATCATGCTCAGGGAGATGAGGAAGATGTAGAGAAGCCCCACCGCCATCACCACCTTCAGCACCTGGATGATCACGAAGAGGACCTTCTCTGGGCCGGTCCGCTGCGACCACGCCTTGTCTTCGGACTCCATCTGCTTCACATCCCACTTCGCTTCCACGGCCGCCATCTTTATACGGTTCTGCTGGCTGTCTTCGTCCGGGAGTCACCAGGCGATCTGCTTCCCCGAAGGCCTGCCTGCCTGAGCTGCGGGAGCTCGATAAAAACGGTTTGAGCCAAAATGGCTACTGATGATGATGAGGAGGACGATGATGATGATGACGATGATGATGCTGCTGATGATGATGATAATGATGATGATGATGATGATGATGATGATGATGATGACGAAACTTATGAGGGCCATGATGGCGATGAGGATGATGATGATGATGACGATGGTGGTGACGATCGCTGATGATGATGATGACGGTAGTGGAGATGAGGATGAAGATGGTGATTCCGATGATGATGATGATGATGATGATGATGATGATGATGATGATGATGATGATGACGATGGTGATGATGGTGGTGACGGTGGTGATGATAGTAGTTGACGGTGGTGATGATGGTAGTTGAGGTGGTGATGATAACGTCGAACGACGAACTTGTTTCGGGCGAGCGGAGACATGTCTCCGCCGAACGAGAAAGTTCATTGACGCTGGAGTAAGAAACTCCTCTTAGGAGCCTCCATACACCACGAATAACATAACACTTTCGATCAAGCCCTCATGCTGCCGAAGCCCAAACGCCTGGAAACGACGAGCCCCGTAAACGCAATCGTTTCTCCTAGACGCCCTCTTCAATCTTCGAAGCTCCCTTCTTCCGATGCACAACGACTGCATAATACTATCAATCGAACACCTGAATAACACGCGCTGGCCCCGCAAGCCTCTCTCGGCCGCCCCAGGACTTCAGTTTTAGGACGGTAGCCGTTGATCGGGCGGCTACCCCAAAGAACAACGCCTCACAGGATCCCAAGTGACCTTAGGCGCCAGAGCGTACGCCTCAGAACTGTCTTCGGATGCGCTGAGCAGGCAAGGACGCAACGGAGCCCCTGATAATGCCACTCCACGGTGCCACGCGCGATTACAGGCATCAATTAAACTGATTCGAAACGCTGCGCCAACCAAGCCGCTGATGCACAACACATGCGATCAGTCTTTCCGTCTCAAGACCACAACGAACGCCCGAAGCCCTGATCTCGTCGCTGCCGCTGAAGATTTTTTAAACAACACCAACAAAAAAAACGAGCCCCGTAAACGGAATCGTTTCTGCAGGAGCAGCGGAGCTGAAGATAAATGCAAAACGAATGCCCGAATAACACACGCCTTCCCAAATTTTGAAAACTCCCCATGTTCCAAAGAGCTTGCGGCCACACCGGGTTTTCAGTTTCACCGCTGTTACCGTTGATCAGGCGAGCGTCACGCCAAATAACAGTCCATCACATGATTACAAGAGCCGTCGAACGAGGAAACTTACGGACGCTGGAATAGGAAACTCCTTTTGGAAGCCTCCCGACACCACGGAGCGAAACCCGAACGCCCGTGCGAGACAATGCGCCCTGGAAACGTGATCGTCTTTCAAGACCCACGATCCAGCCGCGCAGAACAACCTCGATCCTGGACCCTGGTTGCAGGCGGTCCGTGTGACATCGGGAGCGGCCAAGAGGGGGGCGTCCAAGAGGGGTGGGTGCAAATCATGGCCGGCGGCATGTGCGCGGCCCAGGGGGGGGGGCCAGGGACGTAATGAAACAAGAAGAGGCGCCATGAAATCTGGGGAAATATCATGGCCCCCGCCATGATATCCACACCCCCTAGTCATCACCCCCCTCTTTGCCGCTCCGGATGACAATAAAGTTAGGTCGGGCATATCATATCCCCCCACGAGCAGACGTTGAACGAAGAATAATCCAATTGTCCAACAGAACTCAGGAGAGACAAAAGCACCACTACCACCAGCTAGCGTGGTAGGCGCTCCCTCCCCTCGAGCTGGTGGTACCTCCTTCCGAGAACTCTTTGGAGGCACGCCAGGAACGAGGTGCCACCAGCTCGAGAGGGTGGGACAGCCACCCCCCTAGCTGGTAGTGGTGGTACTTTTGACTCTGGTGGAAAACTCAGAAATGGGCAAAACATAATAGAAACAAAGTCCCCAGAATGTTGTTTTACTATTTTAGAATTTTCCTTATGTAGAGGGACATGCCCGACTTGACACAAAAGAGCAGCCTGCGGGCTGGGGTCTGCCTCCTCCCCCCCCGCGCCCACCGAAGGTCGCTCCAGGGAAGGGTCATGTATAACGCGGGCCTCCCGCCGCAGCTCGTAGCGACGCGGGCACCTCCAGAGTGCTCCTCTCGGCAGGGCGCAGCTGCTGGAACGCATCCCGAGGCCAAAAACAGATCGAGGGGCCGAGGAGAACGCCCACACGATATCTGTTTGGGGGTAAGACCACATCAAGGGACCGACGCAGACGCCCGCACAACATGTCTTTAGAGGTAAGTAAGACCACATCGAGGGACCGACGAAGACGCCCACACAACAATTTGTCGAGGTGAGAACACATCAAGGGACCGACGAGAACGCCCACACAACATGTCTTCAGCCGCGCACCAGCATCCGGCCAGGAGCCTGTGCTGGCGTGCCGCGGAGGTGGCGGCCCCCGCGGCACGCTGCGCCCTTCAGGCTGAGAGCGCGTCGCTCTGCCTCGTGGGACGGGGGGCTGGGAAAAGCTCGACGCGTGGATGCTTGGATCGGCGGCCAGCCCGGAGGAGGAGGAGGAGGAGGAGGAGGAGGAGGAGGAG